ATATATATATATATATATATATATATATATATATATATATATATATATGTATATTCTCTCGAATCCCCACAACCGGGTACTCCAGAGAAATGATGGTCCTAGTCTTTCGATGGATGCATCAATCAACAACATATAAATTATGCGAGAATCAGTGAAGAAGGTATACATTTCTAAATATAAATTGCCAACCATCGCATCCATGTTTTCATAAATTTTAATCTTTCTTAAATAAATGAATTTATATTTGTCCAAATTTGAATTACAAATAATAATCAGTAGAAAATGCATCGGCGTTTCTTATCTTATTTTCTATATTTCCAAGGTAATTTTAACCAAATTCTTTCGATAAGATTTTTAATGACCAGATGAATGGTTCCTATCTCTCTAACTTGAATGTCGGACGGCGAGAGATTTTACGAACATTTTCTTGCCGAGAAATCACAGGAGCGATACTCAACTCTTACGGTTCACGCTTGCGACACGTTCGACGGGTAATTAACGTCAGCTTATTTCTCATGGAGAACGTAACCAGCCACTGGGTGGATGCCGTCGACCTCGTCGGGGCCGATGTTATCACGCGCCGTGTATTTTCATTCATCACCGATCTCAAGCTGATTGTTCATCATCGGCGTTCCGAGGCGTTCGAGATGTTCGAATGAACTTAAACTCAACTTACCTGGCTGCGATCCCCGTTCCTCCTGGTCTCTCTTTCTTCGCTTTCCTCCGCTCTGCGAGAAATCCTATCCGAGGACAACGCGTTCCCGCGTCATCACGAATCCGAGAGTGGTCCGGATCGCGGGGGGGGGGGAATTCCGCGGCACCAGGAAGCCTGAGGAACTCTCTCAGCACGCGGCCATTTTGGTGTGGCGGTCGACCGGATATTCGCGCAGCACGTCCGCGAGACTGTGAGGAAAGATCGCGAGATCGAGAGAGCTCGGCACCACTTTACCCGCGAGATAATACCATCGGCCACCGCGACACCGCGGAACCGCGTAGACAACTGACGGCGACTCGCCTCCGTCGAGCGAGCGAGCGAGCGAGCGAGCGGGCGGACGGCCGGGGCGAGCGAACGCCGCGAGCGAAAACTCACTTTACGCTCTCCTCCACTACCACTTTTGCCTCCCACCTCCACGAACCTAGTCGAGGACTCGCTCGCCCGCTTTCTTACCTGACTGCCTTACCTCCTGGCCCCGCCGGCCCCCGCTGCGCCTGCCGCGGCTCGCTCCTCGCTCGCTCGCGAGGAAGGCAGGTATTCCGAGCGAGCGAGCGAGCGAGCGAGCGAGCGAGCTCGGCTTGAAAAACTTCGGGATGAATTACGCCGGGGAGCACAGACGGAGGAGCACCTCCGGACCTTTACTACGTACCGTAGTAAATTCAAATATCTACGCCGCGCGAAAGAACCGCCACTCTTGGCTCTTGGCATCCCGCGAAAGCGCGGAGTGCGCCAAAACGGGAGTTTTATGATTTCGCGAGTTTTACGGCCGTGTAAATTAATCAATTTTTTTCGTCGTCAAAGGAGGTATGCGTTTCGCAAAACGGGCAAGGCGAGCGCGACTGGAACCTGGGCCTGCGGAATGTATAATTGAATTCGAAGAACGGTCGAATTTTTCTTCGGCTCTCACGACTTTTCTCTCCTTCGGGGAACACGTCGTTCGACCGAGGGGGGTAGGGAGGGGAGAGAGAGGGGGGGCCGATCGAGTCGATCGGGATTTGATCGTGATTTCTAAAAAAATGGAAAGCGCGCGATCGTAAGGCCAGGAACCGCTGACCTGGATCGCGTAATATGAATTAAACGCGAATAAATAATCTTACGACACATGACTAACTTCCGAAGGAATTTCTGTTGCGCGATACGCGATTTTAAATACGACATGTGGTTCATTAAGGCGGCCGACGCGACGGGACGCGGCAACCGGTGCAGCGACAACATTGCGACAGTTGATCTTAACATAACTCGAGAAATATACCAGACCCAATTTTACGAATACATAAATCAGTAAGTAAGCAATCAACGATAAGCTCGGCTGGTTTTCGTAACATCGCCGGCGATATATATGGCGATAAACGAATAATTAGTACGTAACAGGCCTTGCGCAATGCGCAGATTTAAAAAAAAAAGGAATTAATGCGCTTCTCGTTTCGTTGAAGTGTACGATTTGCGCGGAGGAATTTACGCAAGAAAATAACGCGCGAATCGCGTTCCTCTGTTGGCAAAACGAAACGCGCAAATATTTACGCGAGTGGAAACAGTACCACGCCATTTCCGTAATCTGAGCTACCTTGAAACGTCACGTTTTGCGTAAATAAAAAAACGTCGCGTTACGTAAGTAACCTGGTAGAGGCGTCTTGAGATGCCGAACGTCTCGGTGAATCGCGCCGATTCGCATTCACGCGCGGCTGTCCGTGAAATTTCGTTCAGGCTTCGACCCGATCGATCCCTCCTCCCCTCTCTCCCCCCGTCCCTCCGCGATCGTGATTTCAATCGCGAGCGATGAATCGCAATTCCTTCGGGGTTGGGCAATCCCGCCTGTGATCGGCGAAAACGCGGCTTCAGCAGCGGTCAACCGCGTTTCCTCCGCGATCCGCGTTTTCGCGTTCCGCTTCCCGTCTGCGAAATCACGAATTATCGCGAGCGTTTCTCTTCGAGTAGGCTAAATTTTTCGAGTGCGGCTTTCGTGGCAGTGTCGTAATTGCGTAGTATGCGAGCATTGGTATGCGCTCGAGCAGCGGCTCGGCTATCGTCGATCGATCGGAACGCAAAACGAGTATTAGATCAGGTCGCCGCCGAGGTCTGGATCCTCGAGTCGCGCCTCGATCCTCATCCTTCCGCGTTTCTTATTTTTTTTCAACGATCGCGGAGATCGTCTGGCAGGAGGAGTAACCCCGATGCCACGCGCGTTCGGCGACCGTAGCGGTACTCCAATCCCAATATCCAATGTCCAATTAGACGGACGACTTCGTGTACACACAGGTGCACGCAGGTGCGCCCGCCTGTGTTTTTCCCGTACGGCGTCGCTCCTTACCGGCGACGCCGACCTCCGGAGATCGGGAGAACGGAATGGAAAGTGGTGGGCGGGGGGACACGAGGGGGCGATATTCTCTGCGCGGTCTTTCTCGCGCGAGAAATTGTATTTGTACGCAACCCCGGCGTGCCTCTGCGTGCCTCCTCGCGAATCCCCCCTTCGATCGTTTTTTTGCGAAAATCGGAGGAGCCCGTGACGAGAAACGGCCACTTGAAGACGCCACGTGTGGCGTTTTGCGTAACACCAATGAAAAAGCTTCGACAATTTGTTGGACAGGTTGTTCCGAACAGAAAATAGAAGACGTATATCCTATTCTAGATGATTACATAAGGAGATATATGAGAGAAGCTCTACACTGTACGACTTCTTCGTCGAATCATCGAACGTTCTTTTTTTTTTTGTATTACTCGTTATACGTTGTATTAGACG